TTTTTTTGTATTATTCTACTTAAGCCGTGAATTACCCGTAGTAAGAACTTCCTCAATACAGTGCCTGATGCAAATCAGAGACTCAAAGATGAAACGCAGGAATCTTTTCAGCCTTCTTTGTTGTTATTTTAAAGATGCCTAACTTGACACAGCTGTCACACAGATAAAAATTTATTAAAGTTCTTTAATTTTATATTTATGCTATTGTTTTAACCAGTTACTCTATTGTCTTGCCTGGAAAGTGAAGTAATTATTTTATATTAATCTAACAGTGGTTGTTCTTTTCACCCATTCACTAGGATCGTAGAGTAACACTACGAAATGTGAAATCGTCACTTCAAGCAGATGTCCAGAAATACCAGGCTTACTTGGCTAATCTGGAATCTCATATAGCCATCCTTGATCAAAAAATGGAAAGTGTTACTGACGAAGTTGAGTCAGCAAGTAAGAAGGCCTTGGTCACAATTGGGATAGTGAAGCTAGAAATAGTTTTAAAGTAATTGTAATTCTCAGCTTTAGGACAGAGTGAGATGATGATGCTACAACTAAACTTTCCAAATTACATTGCTAATATAGAGGGGGGTTTTGCCTAATATCTGTTTTTACACTAGAGTAATGAAATATAAATATTATTTACTCATAAAATACAAATGTTAGGTTGAACTACATAGGCTGGTATTTTACATCTGTTTCACAAATGTTTTGTGAACTTAGAATTGGAAGTAGAAGCAATGAAGCAGGAGAATGCCCGGCTCCAGCACATCTTTGACAACCAGAAGTACTCAGTTGCGGACATTGAGAGAATAAACCATGAGAGAAATGAGTTGCAGCAAACCATTAAAAAGCTGACTAAGGAAGTGGAAGCAGAAGAACATCAGCTGTGGAATGAAGAGCTGAAATACGCTAGGAATAAAGAGGCGGTATGTGAGAACCCCACTACACTGAGAAGTGGCTATCAGTTTTCATCATGCAAACTGAAACTTGGGACTTGAACTATTGTTAACTTCTTTTCTAAATAATCTAACAACAGGAGGGATATATCTTAGCAGGCTAAACTGCATCATAAGAGATGCAGCTCGAATATGCACCACTGTCAACTCTCTCTACTATAGCATTGTGACCTTTGATAACACAAGAAATTTCACATTAATGATAAGATTTCGTAGGAAGGAAATAGTGCTTCGAATCAATACCTTTGCATGTGTTTAGGGCCAGATTAGTCCCTTATGTAGAAGTTCTAGTATCTTTTAATGGCCAAATTCAGTTTCTACAAATAGAATGAAAATATGTAGTCCTGTAAGTGACGGGATTTAAAAGCTTCTGCTTTGCCACCTGGAGAACTAGATAAAAAGGTTTCAAATATATTTTGCATTTCACAGGGTCAAGCACCTGGTATTAACTTAAATTCCTCATGTGCAAGTATGAAGCACGAAAAAAATGGAAAGGGTTCTTTAGTGTTTGCATATAAACAGCACTCATTAATTAGAAATTGGAGCATTTAATAGCTTTGTTTAGAGGTATGCTCAAGTTAGTTTGTTACAAAGATAGGTGGCTATATGGCATTTCCTGTCAAAACCGAAGAGAGAAGGCATGTCGACATGATGACTGAACTTTGGTTTAGTATTATTTTTAAACATGTTTTTACTTCCCTATCAGCTAGTCCTCAAAAAGCTGAGGCAGGAAAAAATATGGCAGATGAAGCCATTCAGTGTGAGCCATACACACTGAGAAACCTTGCTGAGCAAACCAAAAGAATAATAAAACTGCACTTAATCCAACAAACTGCTGGACTGTCACTACATACAGATCTTGAATACTGTGGTGTAACGTGGAATTGTGTCTGTACAGAGCAACTCAGGAACCTGTTTAAAGTACTATATGAACACTTTTTGCAAAGTTTTCCCTTCTATGTCTTATATGATTTTTACCCTCTTCTCCTCTGAACAGATTGAAATACAGCTGGCAGAATATCATAAATTGGCTCGAAAGCTGAAATTAATTCCAGTAAGTGCTGAGAATTCCAAAGGCCGTGACTTTGAGATTCAGTTTAATCCTGAGGAAGGACCAAACTGCCTAGCCAAATACAGAGCCCAGATCAAGGTAAGTAGAGCCAACACCAAAAGCTTTGGTTATCACTCACAAAAAGATGTGTTTGTTTGGAAATGCTGGAAAGGTCTCTCACAATGAAACTTCACTGAAAAGCTTGTGTGATGAGTTGCCGTAACTACACTGTAGTATATTAAGAAAATTTAGTGTTGGAGAGTACAGCAGCCTAAACAAAAACAGGAGAAAGAAAAGATGTACTGGGGTGCATCTTAGATCAAACTAACAAATTGCATTAGCCAGATCTTCTTGTATGCATATTACAGGCTCCCCTTATGGAGATCATAAACCAGACAGAGGAAGATATTAGGAAAGCTACTGAACGGAAAATGTCTTTGGAAGATACTTTCGAACAGGTGTGTTGGTTAGTGAAGATGAAGAGTAAGATACCAAACATAATATCTGCTGGTCCCATTTGACCCTTTGGCATGGGTGAAGTATGGTGTGGTGGGCTGTTTTTTGTTTGGGTTTGGGTTTGTGGGGATTGTTTGATTGGTCGTTTATTTAGTTTGGGTATGGTTTTTTTGGTTGGCTTTTTTGGTTGGCTTTTTTGGTTGGCTTTTTTGGTTGGCTTTTTTGGTTGGCTTTTTTTAGGGTTTTTCTTGAGGGCAAGTAAAGAGGGGAGGAAGCTGTGAGAAAATTTAATTATGAGAAAACCCAAAAGTTTTTCTAAGAATTGGGATCTTTTTACACTGATTGAAATATTGTGTATTCCCTGCATTGAAGTTTATGCAGTTTATATACATTTGACCATAAACATTGGTAATATTTGTTTTTAATAAGTTGCCCATTTCAGTCTGTTGCATGGCTTACTGTCACTGGCAAATTGTCATCAGCAAGATTTGTAGCAATATTGGGTTCAGGGAAGAAGGAGAATTTCATTCTTCCTCTACCTCAGTTTTTATTACTGAACATGATGGTATGGAATGCTGGCCAGCTGGCCAGCACAGCCAGCTGGCCTGGCTGTGTGCCTTCCCAACCTCTTGCTTGTTCCTAACCTACTCAGTGAGGGGCCCTGGGAGGGATAGAAAGCTTTGGATGGTGTGCGAGCACTATTCAGAAATAGCCAAAACACTGGTGTGTTACCTACACTGTTTTAGCCCCTTATCCAAAGCAAATCACAATCCAGGCTGCTACGAAGGCCATCCCAACCTGGCCTAGATTAACTTTTTTCTGGGCTATCGGGTGTTGTTTGTGATGGCATGGAATTCTTTTGAATTGGAATTCTTTTGAATTGTATTTCCTTGGTTATGTTTTCATTCTAGGTGAATGCAATGGTAGCGGATGCGAAAAGCAGTGTTAAAATGCTGACAGAAGAAGCTGAAAAGCTGGATGATCTTTACCATCAGAAGCTTAAGGTAAAACTTCTTTACAGGTTGATGACAATTTATCCTTAATGATATCCTTAATCTTTGTATTTATATATAAGTTTTTGGTTCACATTTTTGTTTGGACCTCTGCTTTTGCCTTCTTCCATTCCTCTTTCAGGATTTTTTTATTCTTTTTGGAAGTATTTGACCACTACCTTAAATGAGTCTGTTTTCACTGTCTTGTAAGAGAACCTGGCATTGTACGTTAGCGGATCCTGTAAGTCATGAAGTACTACATCCAGTAAAAAAAGCAGCAGCAATCATCTGACCTCAGGATGTCTCAGAGCATGTGCTTGAAGGAGATTTTAGGACTAACAAAATCTGCCTTGCCTAATCACTTTGTATATAATGAATACATTTACAGGTTTTAGTAAACATGGTTGATTAGTTTCCTTAAAAACTAAGGAATATACTGATTGACCAAAAGCAAATTAAATGTTTTAATGATCTGAAACTCTTGCTTGCTTTAGCTTCCTTCTCGGGCACGGGAACAGTCCTTAATCCCTTTTGTCACTTGTGGTTTAGCAACAAAACATAGCCCTCTTTAATAACTAAGTGGCTGCTTCGATACCTCCCAACTTCTCTGACAGTGTGGCTTTGGTGGGGCTGTGGCGCTCCATGAACTAAGTATTTAGCATATATTCACTTGTAAATCCAAACTCCTGTGATGTAGCTGTGAAACAGAGCTGTTTTACTGCCAATAACTGCTGAGGTGGCTAAAGGCAAATAATTTAGCTTACTGTTTTCAAAAACACCTGAAACTTAGCTTTTGATCTATGCGGTTGCATAAACTTTTTTCTAAAGGTAAGCTCATAAAATACACAGTCACAACTGGATGTTTTTAATAAGACATAGTCATGTGATTTTTAAAATGCTGTCCATAAGACTTAAGTATTAAAATTATTTTGAGGAATCATGTTTCAGAATCTACCAGAATTGCATCTTTAGTTGATGGCAGAATTTTGCATGGTTTTGTGGATTTAATTGTATTAAATATAGTGTCAACACTGTCATTCTCCTTGAAGAGATGATTACTTGGAATTTTTTACTCAAATGTGATTTTTTTTTTTAACCTAGAAATAGTTGCTCATGATGTGCCATTTCTAAGCTATTTGGAGTATGTAAATAACACTTTTTGAGATTACCTTTGAAGGGAAGATTGCTGCAACACAGACCTTTAAATATGGTTAAAGGAATAAAGAGAAGGTTAGGCTGATTCTGAGAGGAAGATGATACAGAAAATACCTGAAACTTTATGTTTGGGAGGGATGTCCTTGGGGTTTTTTTTTTTAGTTCTGAGCTTGGAGTTACTTTTGTGAATTCTGAATTCAAGCATCAGGATGCAATCAGGTAATATAAAGGAGGAAAAAAGTCGTAATTATTCCCAAGGTATGCAATTTTTTTCTCTTCTTCCCTTATTACAGGAAGTAGAAGAGGAAGAGCAAAAATGTGCAAATGAACTGGAATTGTTAAAGAAGCATAAACAATTACTCGAGAGTGGTGTCAATGAAGGTCTCAGTGAAGCCACAAATGAATTGCATGATCTCCAGCGACAGTAAGACCCACACCTTCAAAGTTTCCCTAGTTTATTTTGGTTTTTAGCGATAAAGATATTCTCTTGAATCCTAACATAAAATTGTTTCAGCTTTTATCCATCTCAGTCTACATTAATTTCACTACATTAATTGAGTTTTAATTTCATTACATTAATTGAGTGAGCAACTCAGAGATGTTTCTCCTCAACAGTATTTTGCTAGAATATTTTTCTGCTCTATCAGAACTCCTGTTTTCCATGCATATTTTTATCCATATAATTTTTTCCATATATATGATTATAATAAGGAAATTAGTTTGTTTCCTAAGTTATGTGACAACTAGATTTTGTACCTTAAAGTTTGAAAAGACTATTCTGACTCTAAGGTACAATGTTTCTTACTGGTTAGCACAATACAGTCCATTCTTCTAAGCTGAGTATTAAAATACAAATCTAACTTGGTTCAATTTAATACTAATTGAAAAAAGTATGGTTAAACATGACAATAAATCAGATTTGATGATTATTTTGTAGTTATGGGCATGACTTTCTGAGTATCTTTATTTTTAGATATCAAGTTGTTGTGCAAACAACAACGGAAGAGAGCAGAAAAGCTGGTGACAACTTGAGTCGTCTTTTAGAAGTGATTGGTACTCATGTAGTATCTGTAGGGGTAAGTAAATCTGTAAATTCGATATTCAGAATCAAATCTCTCTAGAGACATATGTAACTGCAGTTAAACACATGGAAATTGGAACTTACTGTTTCCTACAAGGTATTTGTTATTTAGCTGCTGCACGGAGTCTGTAGATTCTGGTTAAATTTTTGACAAAGCCTTTAGTATAAATAATCAGAATTGATCATTAAATTTCAGCAGTTACATCCTGTCAGGTTTAACCTGCTTCTGATAGATGTCTTTCAGAAAAGTGTTTAACTGAAATCACCTAACCTGTGCAATAACTGCTTAAAATGCTTTAGCAGAATCAGAGACTATGGGCTGTGATGGACCTAATAAACTCTGTAACTCTTTTTCAGAAATACCTTGATGAACAGAATATGAAAATTGAGAGAGATTATGAAGAATTCATGTCAGAAGATCTATTGTCAGATTTGAACAGAATTCTAGACAGTTATAAAAAGAAGGCTGAAAGTCTGTAATTACTAAAAATGTGAAGATGAAAATTTTGCATTTCTGAATGGTATGGGGCCTTCTAAAAGGAGGGTACTTCTGGTGTTTAGCAGTGAAACTGGTTTTAAGTTTAAGGAAGTATTTATGAACTTCCTTTGTTTTGTTGACACAAGTGCATTGAAAAATTTAAAAAAAAATTGCATTTTCTTACAAAGGCTTTGCTTACACTTCCCACTTACAATATCTTATATATGCTTACAAAGATCTGTGACAGAACGAGTGTGGAACAACTGCATTTTGGGTTTTTTTTACAAACAAATAATTTTCTAGGAATATCAGTACAGCAGAAGTAGAGCTAACCTGTTAAAATAACAAAGGCAGAGTGGAATTAAGATGGAACCACAAGTGATAGGACAAATGCAGAGAGTACTGACAACTTGAAATACTGCTACTCAAAAATAACTAGTGGGTTTTGTAAATGTACAAGGTTGTTAATTGATAAGTTATGCTTTCCCTTCTAGAGTATAGATTGTGCATTTCATTCTATATGCATTTAGGGCACATACATGACCATAGTACTTGTACAGGAGTCTTGTAAATAGTCTGGAAAAAAAAAAGAATAGTCTGAAAACAAAGTTCTCTCTCTAGGTGCTTATGATCCCAGATAAAACTACATTGAACTTGTTGAAAATATATGCCAGAGACAGCTCTAAGCAGGACAACACAGGAATTCTGGCTGTATGTCTAATTAGTTGTAGGTTTGGTTGATGTTAGATATGACAAAATGGTCTAAAATGTGTCTGCATTCTGTTTTTCAGCCAGTAGAACAGACTCTATTTGATTTTAATTCCCCAGGAAAGTAGCAGTAAAATTAGAGTATGGGGACCTCCAGTCCAAAAACATAGGAGAAAATGTATCAGAGGAATGCTATGTGGAAGTAATATTCTATAATCTACTTTGAATATCATTTTGTGTTAGGAAAAATAAAAAAATAAACCCCAGTATTCGTGTCTTGGATAGTTTAGTTTTTGATGGTATTTCCTAATAAAAGTATTGAAATATTTGAGTGTTGTTTTTAGAGTTCAGAGATAAATATCACTGATTCAAATCTACAAAGTTTAAAACAACTTTGCAGTTGTTCAAAAGCTGTTAGCAGCAGATAGATAAAGGAAGTTGCTTCTTAATTCTATAATTGGGCACAATATTTGAATGAAACACAGATCCCTAGGATACATGGCAACCTAATTTGGACCATCTGAACACAGACTGCAAATAAAAACTGAATTGTCTCTAATTCTAGGCTATTTTTGCAGAATGCATTTTAAATTCAGTTGTCCTTAACATAGCGTGAGAATCTTCTGGTTCTGGTTATGAGTATTTTGTTTCAGATATTATGATAATTATGGCATTATTTAAGCTTCTGATTTCCTGTTTGTGATACTCCAGAAGTTTAATTTGACAGCTTAAAAAGTTTTCTGGCAGGTGGGTAGATTTACTGCTTTCTTCTGTTGTCCTCTTTTTCCTTTTACCTTTACAAAGTCTTGGAGTTTGGGGTTTTTTTCTGGTAACAGCCTAGTCCTTGCTGAATCTCAGTTCCTTCTCTTTAGAAACGTTTTGCTTTTGTGATCTTACTAATACTTTTGCTATCTAAAACATTACTCCTCTTATTAAGAAAAACTGTAAACCACACCATACAAAAGGGGTTATGCTCTCACTTGGCTGCCTGATACCTGTTTGTCTCTGCTTCTGTAACTGACTGATCTTGTGTTTATGAGCCATCTGCAAGTTCCTTGCCATGTGGAGTAGTCAGTTGACTGAGTAATTGAAAGCAAAATAAATGGCATTTCCAAGGACTAGAATTAACGCAGTGGTAATGGGGTAAAGAATTGAGGTCACAACAACCTTCCTTCATGTACTCGCTACTGTAATATTCTGAAATTAAAGTAGCCTGAGTGTTTAAAAAAATGCATATTTGTAAGGTTGGCAACATGTTTTTGTTATTGGGCTGAACTATTGGTCTGCACATCAGTTAAGCTAAATTGACTTTGGAACTGGCTGAGGTTCAGTAAAATACTATGTAATATAACAGGGGAACATGGGCCAACGTTTACTAGGTAATGTTTTCAGAATTTAAAAATGGGAATTTTTTAATTCCTCTTGAACATGGCTCCTTTGTGATATTGAAAGTAAGGTAGTTATTTTTTGTATTCTGGAATATGGTTTTTAAATTTAGACAACAGGCCTTAGAACATAACTACTGCTTTTGCTTTTGTTTCTGTTTTTATCAGAATGTAAAGTCTTAATCAGAATGTACCATGGCACCTGCACATTTCAGTAGTATGAGTCATTTGTAAATTTTTGCTTTTGTATGGATACAGTTGCCTCATTTATTTCAAGTGTACCTTTTGTACAGTTTACTTAGCGTGTCTTAAGTTTATGTATTTTTATATTCAATAAAATTCCTTAAGCCTGTTCCTATGAAGGATAGATTATTACTGCAAGTATAGAAATAAGACATAAAAGCCCAATTAATTTGACTTTCCTAGTGGAACTAGGTAATCATCTTAGCAGCAGGTACTAATACCCTGGCTATCCTTCCTGTTAAACATGCACTGTGTAGAGGAAAAACAAAATACAGAAACATCTTATTCCTATAAGTTTCAGAGGAATAAAAATTGTCTTAACTTTTTTGAAAAAATAGATGGCTTTTTGTAAACTCTAAGAAGCACAGGACCAAGCTGCTTTGACAATTATTTAGGTGCTATATTTCTGACATTAAACTTCCCAACCTGCCTTTTCCTATTTTAAGCATTAAAGGACTATTTCCTTTATATGACCACTCTTTGATCTGCCTCTTTTTACTTTATTAGCTATTAGAAACTCAAACAAACAAAACCACAAACAAATAAAAAACCCACCAAAAAACACTTGATGCTGTAGAAGCATGATAGCAACTCTGTCTATAGCTTTGTTCTCTTCCCTGCTGTACATTATTTTTATTTTGGTTGTCAGAAACTCACCACTGTCAAGAATGTTGTTGTTTTGTCGTGGGTTTTTTTGGAGTACTTCTTGAGCACATCATATGGAATCACTCAGGTTGGAAAGGGCTTCTAAGTTCATTGAGTCCCACCATTAACTCAGCATGACCAAGTCCACTCATGTCCCTAAGGCTACATGGACATGACTTATAAATGCCTCCAACCACCTCCCTGGGCAGTCAGTTCCAATGCTTGACAACCCTTTCTGTGAAGACATTTTTCCTAATGGCCAATTTCAACCTTCCCTGGTGCAACCTCAGTCTGCTAAAGGCTTTAAATGTGCAGTGTCTGCTCAGCTCCTTTGTATGAGGCTACTTGGACCATTCTCCTTGTTTTTGCCAGTGTCCAGTAGTGCATGCCTATGCAAGCCTTTAGTTCTGAGCTGGATTTCAATATGTTCTCTGTGGTTCTGTGATACTTCTATTATTTAGTCTACTTTGGACTTTAATGGGAGTTCTCATCTCTGCTCCAACTTTCATGGTAGAATTGAAGATCCATGTATATATTTTTATCTTACTTTTGGAAAGAGTACAAAAGAAGATGAGGCCTGCAGCTGAATACGTTCCCTTTTCACTAATAAGAGGAGGAACTCCCTCAGCTGGGAGCTCTCCAGTAAAAAGGAAAGACTGTGGTCTGACATGCCAAGTGACTATGCAAAGCAAGGGAGAGTTTGTGAATGAGGGTACTACTCGCCTATGAATACTCTACAGATTATTTCATATGCAGGTATTTTGAACACTGCAAAGTATCTGAAGAGACTATGCATTAACTTTCCACTCTTCTCTGGAGAGCACTGTTTTGCTTTAATACTGGAAATCTTAGTGTGTCCTTTAGAGTCAGTTAACCTCCCTCTTTTGGAAGTATTGTAGAACAGCGAATTGACCTGGTTTTTCAATACTTGCTCTCTACAGTTTTTTGGCTGTGAAAGGTTCCTGGCATGATGAAATTGTGTATTGTCTTTTTCCTTGCAAAGTTCTCCACCCTATAGGAATATTGTATTTCATTGGGATTTTACTTTTTAGGTGTTTGTTGAAAGTTTTTGATGGTAGTGATTCCTCTTTAAGGAATGGATGAAGCACAGAAGACTCACACAGCCCTCAGTGGATGAGGGACTATCAATGCCTTAACCAATGTCATATCTAAGGGAAGTGCAGTGATATCGTCAGTCCTGTATCAGGTGATTGGCAGAGACTGATCAGTCAGCCTGAGGAAACTCTTAATTTTACAGGCTTTTCTGGTAGAACTTGATCTGTTTACAGGATTTTTCTAGACATAACAGATGCCAGGTCTGTTGTGCACTACTGCCCTCTGGAGAGTGGACCTTCTGTGCACACTGGTCGTGGGAAGATGGCTGGAGGTAAAAATTAGAGGAAACTGAGAAGTTCTATTCACATCCCAACAGAAGTTTTAACAGTACATAAATTACAGGGTAAAATGCAGCTGCAACACCCTGGATGGAATGCTGTCCATGTGCTCCACAACACTTTCCCATACAACAGTAAGCACCTGCTAAGGGGGACGGGACATAGGATGGAGCAGGGCAGAGACACCGCAGCCAGGCTCTGTGGAAATTCTTGCAGGGAGGGGGACTCGATGGTACTTTGCAGCTGATAACTTGCATAGCACCTGTCAACCAAGGGAGATAGGAAAAGATGTCCTGCTGCTGAGCCCACAACTGTACCGCAATCTCTCCTTGGATGAACTTGATTCATTAAAGCCTAATTGTAATATTAATGCACACCTCCAACCCAAAGTTACCCACCTCCAAGGTACAGCCACCCCATACTGGGCATGTGCCCTGTATTTTTTTTTTTACTGCATCTTTAAAAGCAGAGAGAATTTTACACTAATCAGCAAAGAAGGTATTTATGACTAAAGTCACTCACGCTCCACCTAAACATAAAGAAATAGTATAAAAGTTGAGAATGGGGGAAAAGTTAGGGAAGACTCCATCACAACTGCTGGGATCGGCTGATGGGTTGAACCTGTTTCTCTCCCATAGGGATGCCTGTTGAGTTAAGAACTGTATGAGCACTGAATACTTTTATTGGGATTAGAGTTTGGGATTATTCCTTTAAATATGTTTTTGCAGTCAGTTGTTATCACCAGCCATCTTCGATCCTTAACCTGTCGCAATTTCATATCACTAAAGAGTGTTATTCTGTAAACTGTTAGTGGTGGTCTTTGCCGGGTGCTAGCAGTTGCTGGCAGCGGATAACACACTTTATTCAAGTGGGAAGACCCACTGAGGGGTCTCTGTTACACTGTTGTTGTGTGTCCCTGAATAAGAGAGTCAAATCACCCTTTGATCCAGCAGGACTCTTCTGTGAAGGGTCCCCACAAAAGGACATGGACTGGTTGGGGACAACTGTCTCGAATTTCCTGGGGCACTGACAGACAAACACTAAGGGTGGAGAAAAACTCCCCTTTTCACATGACATTGGTTCATAAGGGTTTACCAATCCCAGTATTTGCCTGAGGTAGACAGGATTATGTGTCCATCTAGAGGATGATTGGCTGTATTGTCCCTCTATTCCGGAAGTTCTTATCAATAGCTTTGTGTGGTCTGTATGGTGTTTTCTCTAGCACCTCATGCACGAGACCACAGTTTTAATTGGCAATGTCTTATATGATCACCATTTTAGTCTCGAGAACCCTTTGCACAGGGCTAAGATTCAAAAGGCATATTGTATGTTATTCCAATTTCACCTCTACAGTCACATTTATCAGTCTGGCAAGACTCGAAAGCAGAAGGTAAGACAGGTGGTGATGGAATATGTCTAATATTTTGAAACAAGCAAGATGTATGTAATTTTGTCTCACTTTTCCTACCAGTGTTCAGAATAGTGAATTCCCTTGTATTGGCAGAAATCACGCGGCCCTTTTGAGAACACTGAACACCAGCAAAGTCACACGTGACTACTGGTGTGCCCAGCTGAAAGGAAAGGCATTCATTATTCTACCTGGAAAAGAGCATCTGGAGTTACTAGTTCTAATTATCTTAATTAGCAATGGGCCTTACATTACATTTGAAGGGCATAGAGGACAGCAAACAATGGGCTCTGCTTGACTAATGGTGCATAGTGACTTACTGTCCTCTCACCCTCCCAAGGTTTAGGCCATTAGTTGTAGGGAGGTCGTAGGGAAAGCTGCAGAGTTGAGTCACACAAGATAAGAAAGGGAAAACTACAGACAGAGGTTGCAATGTTCAGACAAGTGCAGGTTTTTAAAAGGAAAATCACTAAGACATAGAATTGTAAAGGTATAAACAAGAAATCAGGGAATGGCAATTCAGCATTAATGGAGATCTTTTCCATTGACCAGTTGAGTATAAGCTATTCCTTAGGTGTTTTATCAGCGGTGCTGAGAACACAAATGTTTAGCCTAGAAGCTCCTTAAATCCCACGTCTTGTGCGCACTACAAGAAAAACTCTGTGATACACGCTTGCAGAATCTCTGCGTGGCAAAATACGCTCACAGCAAGAATGCAATGGTTACGGTGTTACCATCCCAAAACCTGGAGAATGGGGCAGTGCCATGTAGAGATATTTAAATAACTAATTATTCAACTGGTCTTGCCTGGTCTTGCTTGGAGTCCATGGTGCCACTGCTACTGGAACTGGTGATAAATGCACTCCTTGATGGTTCAGGAGAAAGAGGCCAGGGGAAGGGTTGGAAAACAATGCCAAAAGTCATGGTAATAAGAAGAGTAAAGGGAGGAAGCAGCCTTCCAGAGAAAAAGAAATAGTAATGATGCTCAGCTACAAAAAGCTTGGAAGATACTTAAGTAAGACTACACAGCAGCAATAGCAACTTGAATGGAAAAGCATGGTGTCCTACTCAGGTGGTTGGACCTTTTCTGTGACAATGTATTTATGAAGTTTTCCTATTTCTAACACATCCTACAGGAGAGAATGATGTATTTCCAGTCTTTTAAGAGTGTAGTTGGAGGGACTTCTTCGGATATGATCTTAAAAATCTTTGCAATCAGAACATCAACAGTGTTCTTCTACTAGAATATTAATGCTTGAAGACATTAATCTTACACCCCAACAGCCTTTCCGCAAATCAAAAACTGTGTTTTCTCCAAATGTGCATTTGTCAGGTATGTTTTTATGTATTTGTTCAAGAATCATTCATGTTCCTTTGTCTCACAGAGGAAGGAAGCTTTTAAGATTTGGTACATCTTCTGTTCTCCCAGAAGCGAGTTTACTCTGGGACTCACAAAGTGCAGTGGATTGCTATCAAACATATTTGGGTGCAGTCATTTGCCCTTGGCAGGTGAATGGCAAGAGCTCCTTGCTCATTCACTTTTCACAGAGGTTGGCTCTACTGCCATGGTTTCCCTCAAATAGTTCCATGACAATCCTGGGAGAGCTGCCAGGCTAAATTCTACAAGTATCCATCTAGTCCGGCGTTCTCCTTCCAAATATGGC